TTCCAAGATAAGGATTCTTCTTTATAGCTTGTGCTTTTCTTTAAAGAATGTTCCTCTAGCATTTACCAGCCTTCCTGAATCTGGAAGATCAGCTCTAAGACAGAACCAGATGGTTAAGTGTGTTATATTAGACCTAGGGTCTTTCTGTGTATTCCTTCATGTTGGAAAACCTCTCCAGCTGTTTTACAGTCTTATGTGCTGCAGCTCATTTTCAAGAGATTTTTCCTTTTCTACTTTATTGATAATCTCATGAAGGCAAAATGCAGGGATACATCTGAATTTGACTCTATAGTTTTATGTGGGTTTGTTGATTTCTTTGTTGCTATTGTTATGTGAATCTGCATGCTTCCATTTTTAACTTTGTTTGCTAGTACAGCTGAATTTTCTTACTGAGGAACAATAAATGACTTCTATTTTATTCCATTCTTTTCTGAATGAATGAGCTTTTGAAAACATTCCTGAAGACTTTGCTGTTAACGTTTTTTTTTTGGATTATTCCATCTGATAGCCAATGAGTCAGAATGGCTGTCTCTTTTTCTTGTGGGAGCTGTTACATTCCTCAGGAGTCTGCTGAATCTAACCAAGATTTGAATAAAAAACATTCCACACTCTGACTTTACTCATTCAGTCTGCTCTGTAGATAATATTTATAGCCAGAGTCCGACATGCTGAAGAGAATACATATCCTTAAAGAAACTGTATAAAGGAGAGATCATCTGTCCCATAAGTTCATCAATCAGTCTCCAAACTATTGAGTAAGGTCCTAGAGTTTGTTTTTTGTGTTTTTTCATAAATAATCCCTTCTTTCAGCTGTCAAAAAAACCTTAAATGTTGCCCAGCACTCTACATCTTGTGTGTATTTGTGTTGTTAATTCTTTACCTTGGTCAACATCTGACTCATCTTTTAATGTCCACCTGGCAGCAACTCAGTAATATACAGCTTTCAAACTGCATTCATAGTTTAATTTTATATCTGAGCTTTTCAAAGTTGTGCAATATCCTCTCTTACTTTCTGTAGTGGTCGACTGGGCCTCCTACAGGAACTGATAGTTGTCTGCTACCTTCACACAGTAGTGTGATAACCAAACTAGTTCTGTGCTTCAGTTCGGTTCGATCTGTTTCCTGATAGTAAGCATTTTTGTTATTCTTTCATCATGCGTCCTTTTTTCCCTGTAAAAGTGCATTTTATTATTAAATGAGCAAAAAACTCTGGGGCACTGGCTTAATGCATCTTACAATTCTAACCTATACAGAATTAACAGGTATATCTGATCAAGACTTTGTAATGCCTACCCCAAAACATCCACTATGTTGTATTTTAGTTCCTCTTTATCAAATTTGCTGGTATTACTTTATAATGTGAAGAAATGTTTTTACACAATCTTTACCTGCTTATCTGATTTATTTATATCAGGAGTGTCCAAAGTTAGACCTTTCCCAGTTTCACCTAATTACCGTAATGTCTGAAGCTATCAGTGTTTTAAAAAAGAAAAAAACACCTAAACCGGCAGAACACCAGCCTACAAGGACCAAATTTGGACAAACCCTGCTTCAGATGTTTCTTCATCTGTTCAACATGTTGTTTCCTCATGTCTATTATGCAAGCAAAATAACATGATCTAAAGCATGCTGGCAACCCCACTCCACAGGCAACAGAAAAAAAAGGCTTCTTGTTCTGAGGTTGGTGTCTATTTTTCACATCTGAGCATGCTCATCTCTAGGACAACCAACCTATCTCTTTCCTGAAATCACATATTTGGGTGGGCATTCAGGATGTTTATACTAACACATGTCTTTTTCTTTTAATTTTCCCAATGATGTCTCAAGCTGATCTCTTCCACAGCCCCCGCTTGCTGCCATAATCAGTGGTGGAAAGTAACAAAGTGCATTTACTTGATTACTGTACTTAATAAATTTTTTTTTGTATCTTTAATTTACTTAAGTAATTTTTGGAGGCGGTACTTATAACTTTCACTCTACTACATCATAAAGTAAAAATATTGTTCTTTCTACTCTATTTCAAGGAAGCTGCTATTTCCTTGTTCCCTTTGGCTCAGCTTAGCTTTATAATCCACTGTTGCTTTTCCTTCCTTTAAATAATGCAATTTCAACATGCAGGATAGCAGCCCTTAGGTCTGAATTTGGACACCACTGTTTTAGAGATTTACATGACATTTTACAAATGTGAGAAACTCATGGCAGATATTGTTTGTAGTTTATACATTTTATTAAGGTGTTAGTTGTTACCATGTGGCCAAGTTGTTCAGTAGGATGAGTTTTCAAACCAGAGTTGTAGTTTCTGTGTGGTAATAGATTCAACCTTAAACCTCTATTCCCCTCTACACTCCTGTTATTTGAAAGTTGGTTTCTGAAAGTTGCATGGTTATTTAAAGTTACTCAGAAAATTATACAGAAATGCACTGAAATTTTTTTTTAGAACATTTTATTTGTATTTCTAAATACTGAAGTACTTATAAATTCATGTACTTTTGAATACTTAAGTATTTTCAAAAGTTAGTACTTTAGTAGCCTACTTTAAATTGAGTAGATGTTTGTACTTGTAGTTGAGTAAGATTTGACTATGAGTATCGATACTTTTTCTCAAGTACTACTCCTGAGATTATCACTAGTCCACCACTAGTGATAATCATTAACAACTTGGCAACGGCTGATAACCAATCAGAAGCTTACAAAGCCATGACATCATGTGGGTGTCCAGAATTGTTTAAAGGCTGATAGTGGTTGTAAACAGCTCACTTTTAAACAAGAAGCAAAGATATGCGGCACCCTTTGACTCTTTGTTTGGGGTAACAAATCCAATGCAGCCTCAGTACTTTTCATAACGTTATTCTTATGGACTAGTATCCATCCTTCTTCCATTGAATCTCTCCTAGTTTAAAAATGAACTTCTGTTACAAATTTTATGGAAACTTGAAGTCGAGGATTTAAAGTTAAAAATCTATCAACTTAATAAGGTCTAAATTAGAAATCCTTAAATCGTCTTTATTTTTTTTGAATTTTCTGTCTTATTTACGGGGTTAAAGCCATTGCATTCTGCTCTGCATTTAATCAGTGCATAAAAATTCAATTTTTGATATCCTTTTCTTTCCAGCTATTTTTGGGTATTTTTGAAAAAATGCACATGCACAACTTTGTACCCACTCCCGAGAGAGATTAAACGCGTGCGAGAGCATGCACGAGCCCATTTCTCCTCATTCACGCTTTGTTTAAAAGTTGCTGTTTGCATCGCTCATACAAGCTTACTTTCCAAAAGAAGATTTGCAATTTTTCCACTATGTCAGACTCACCACTGGTAAGTGAAAATGGGGACGAGCACGTAGGACGGCCTTACATAAACATATCACCAGAATGATTGACAGTTAGGAGGACCATTTATTTTGATGATCCACTACACCTTTAAGCATTATGAGTACCTTTTCTAGTCCTTATCTGTAAATAATCACTATACTTTTAAAGGTGAATTTAGCTGCCGATTGGTTTCCAGTACATCAATCAAATAAATTAGAAAAAAGATTTCTGCAATTGGAAAAAAGCCTTCCTAAGAATTTTGATGGTAATCTAATAATTCTGTTTTTATTTTCCGACCACCCTGGAGAGAAATATCAGCTGTGCTGGTATTTCTCAGTGTGAGCAGATGGCTGCTCACACTGAGCCTGGTTCTGCTGGAGGTTTCTTCCTGTTAAAAGGGAGTTTTTCCTCTCCACTGTCGCTTCAAGCATGCTTAGTGTGAGGGATTGAATTCGAGTCAATGAGATGTTGCAATCAACTGGTTTTTCCTTAGATATAAAACTGAATCAATTTGACTGTATGAACTGGTGAACTTGAGATGACATGTGTTGTAAATGTGCGCTATATAAATAAACAGTATTGAAATTGAATTGATTCTGGTTTAATTCATAGAATTCTGACTGAAATCTCAGATTCTGTTTTTTTTTTTTTTTTTCACAGAATTTTGGCTGTAATCTCAGATTCTTGTTTAATTCTCAGAATTACCCTTAGCAAAAAGTAGTATACTTGAAGTAAATTCTATTAAGAATACTTAAGGATAAGTTTAGAAAGTATACCGAACAATGTACTTTTAGCGTACTTGAAGTATCACTAAAGTAATACTTCTTCAAACTAAATTAGGACATTTTTAAGTTTACTAAAGTATACTTAAAGTATACTTTAGTAAACAATAGTATAGTCAAGTACACTTGACTATACTATTGTTAAGTATATGAAATATAGTTTAGAATAAGTAAACTCTAAGTGCACCGCCTGATTTTAGGTATGAAATTAGTTCACTATTAGTATACTTGAATAAACTACTTTTTGCTAAGGGTATGGCTGTAATCTCATATTCTAGTTTAATTCTCAGAATTATGACTGTAATCTCAGATTCTAGTTTAATTCTCACAATTTTGACTTTAATCTCAGATTTTGGTTTATTTCCCAGAATTATGACTGTAATCTCAGATTCTAGTTTAATTCTCTGAATTACGGCTGTTATCTCATGCTGGTTTATTTCCCGGGATTTATGGCTGTAATCTCAGATTCTAGTTTAATTCTCTGAATTACGGCTGTTATCTCATGCTGGTTTATTTCCCGGGATTTATGGCTGTAATCTCAGATTCTAGTTTAATTATCTGAATTACGGCTCTATTCTCAGTTGCTGGTTTAATTATCAGAATTCTGACTTAAATATCAGATTCTGGTTTATTTCCCGGGATTATGACTGTAATCTCAGATTCTGGTTTAATTCTCGGAATTATGGCTGTTATCTCAGATTCTGGTTTATTTCCCGGGATTATGTCTGTAATCTCAGTTTCTGGTTTAATTCTCGGAATTCTGACATTTTTCAAAGAATTTCATTTTTTATTTTTTAGTAATTTTCTCCTGTTCAATCGCTCTAATCGTTTTCAGTAACCCAGAGTACAGTGTCTATCAGCCTGGCCACCGCCTTCTTTGAGCTCCCTCCTCCTCCTCCTCCTCCTCTTTCTCCGTCCTCCTCAGCAGCCTCTGCTGCAGCATCAGAACCCGGTGTCTCCTGGATGGATCCATGAAGAAAGACCCCCCCCATCCCCTCCACACGGTCTGTCCCCTCCCGCACCACGATGATGGACCCCCAGCGATTAACAGCGTCGTTGTGATGATGATATTGGGTTATTTCAGCAATCAAATATGAATCATGCATTTGATATTTCTCGCCACTTCGCTTGTCTGCGTCCTCTCGCCTTGGCTCCATCCATCACTGGCTTCATCCGGTGCGTATTGCAACAGCCCGCTGCTGTATTTCTATTCATCTTTTAAATACACGTTTATTTATTTAATCTCCACGCGCACATCTATGGTTACGCCCTATATATTCTTTAATCTTTCGGGAAAAAATGTTTTTAACGGTGCGTCTTATCTTATGTTGGTTAATCTATCCCCCCTTCAGAAAACACAGGGAATTATTCAGTTTAATATGCGGCTCTCCAACGTGATGGTGCATGAAAAATAGCATGACAACAGCATCTTTTGTTCAGACTCTTAAAAGCATCAGTGTCTATTCTGCTTCCCACCTATGGATCATCAGTAACAGTCTTAATTTGTGCATTGCTCATTCATTTTTTATGTTAGTCCATTCCTTGAAATAACATAGTTGTTTTAATGTGTTTTAAATCATCATATTTAAATGTAAATATATGGATCTAAGCTATTTAAAGAATAATTGCATACTTTATTTAGTAGATGGCAGCTTTTATGCACTGTCAGTTAGATTTGTTATTTCTGTGAAAATCTAGTTACCCAACGAGTAGAGGACAAGGTTGAGAGGGGCACAGTGTCAGCAGTGCTGAAGCAACAGGCGACTGCAGCACCTGCTACTGACAACATAACACAGCATGCAGCAGAACACACCATCACCTACCCCTCACGGCTGATCTACTACCTGAATGAGGACTCAGAGAGCACCCACCATGACCTCAACACCCGAGCCAAGAACCAGGCCAAGGCTGACCAAGTAAGCCCCCTCCCAGGCAGGGATGGTGTTTAAACACTCACAAGGCTTTGAGGATTTATTTATTGCTCCAGTTTTGTGCTTTTCTTTAAACTGTATTTAGCCTCAGGAATAGAACGTATCCTTCTTCCCAAATATCGAATGAAAGTATGGGAGAAATTTGATATCTAATAACTGTATAAAACAGGATGAATATATTTGGTCTGTTTGGACATTAAATTTATTTTTTTTCCTCATCTGCAGACCATCCATCTTGCCCAAGCCAGTTTCCAGTTAGAGGCGTTCGGGACCAGATTCGTTCTGGATCTAACATTGAACAAGTAAGAGAAAGTAACTCTTTGTGCCTTGTAGTTCCTTTACCTCTACTAGAGGGATGCTGTGTCATTTCCAGGTTAACAGACCTGCACAAAGTGGTGTTAATTGCATTGGTTTTAAGACCCTTGGTAAGTCTTCCATCTGCAGTAGGATGAAATGCAGAGTAACTCAGAGCAAAACTTGCAACCAAGGCTCCGAAAATGTTGTCATTTAACAAATGCAAAATAACACAGCAGCAACAAACTTAAAAACAATCTCTATTGCATCTGTATTGGCTTTTATATCTACTAATAATAACTTCTCAGAGACTCACGTTATTTCCCTTAGCTGCAGTAGATAACCATATTAGCATCTTCATTTTTGTTGTAATTTTTGCTAGTTGGTCCTGGATATAGCTACTCCCAGACAGGCCAATACCTCCATGATTTTATAACAACTCCCAAATTCAGTTCAAAATTCAAAAATACTTTGAAGTGGTTACTGACATGGGTTGAAGAGATAGGAGGAGGAGACGCTGCACAACTAATAATCTTCTTGCGGGAAAAATGAATAAAAAATTAAATATCTAAAGCCATTCCTATAGAAAAGTCAGGCAGTGTCAGAGTACTCACCTAACCCTTTGTGTCAGAAGTTTACTCTTATACGTTTTCTTCTCAGTATGTTCTACATAGGGAAATTTATAATTTTTTCTTGGCCCATCTCAAACTTAGCTCTAAGCTTCGGACTCAATGACCACTGCAGAGACTGACCCCCCCGCAGAACCACTGTGGCCTCCTTAATGGGAGACGCATTACGTGCAACATAGAAAAAAGTCTTTAATTATTCAGCATTTCAAACTAAGAATATGCTGAAGGCATCAAGTTAGTAGTAAAGACCCAGGAAAGGGAGTATTGTTAGTGCTGCTGGAGGTAAGCATGGCAGCACAGATCCACGAAAATGCTGTTTAACTTTAAAATGCCGTGCACACCAAAATGCTTTTGAATAAAAGGGTGGAGTGTACTTTCTAACATGCTTGAGCAAATGTTGACTGAAAAACATGAAAAAAGAACCATATGTCGTAATTATTTAAGAGACAAGAATTGGTTTATCTTAACTAAAGAGTAGTAGATGGTCATATCATTGGCGATTGGTAGTTAATACATTCAATGTGCAATGTGAGGGTTAGGATGGATTTAGTATTAATTGATTGATTAATGCAGTATAAGATGGAAATACTGCGATTAAAGAAGATGTGATTTAAATTAGCAGGATGCTGGTTCTTCAACTGACAGTTTACAGACATGTTAAAATGGCATAGGGTGCAACAGATCTAAATTCTTTCCAGGAATTCAGTATTAAAGGTATGCCTAAGAAGTCCTAATGGGGTTTAAATCACTGTTGTGATTTAGTATGTTGGAATTGAATTGCTTTGTCAATATTTATATAAAACAACAGTAATTATTGGTTTTTAATTCCTTTATCATTCATATTCAGAAGAAGTGGGTCAATTTAAATTCAGTTGATTATTTGCTTTCTTACTGTAATGTTAAACAACATAAATCCTAAGATTATGAACGTAGTGTGTCAAGTTTCTCTGAAATACCATGAAAGTTGTTATAATAGTATGAATTAATTATAACAGTATTAATATTAATAGGCACTCTGTGGTTAATGGATCTGAAAGAAAGAAAGAAAGAAAGAAAGAAAGAAAGAAAGAAAGAAAGAAAGAAAGAAAGAAAGAAAGAAAGAAAGAAAGAAAGAAAGAAAGAAAGAAAGAAAGAAAGAAAGAAAGAAAGAAAGAAAGAAAGAAAGAAAGAAAGACCCACTCATTTGTGTCATAAACATAAACTTAATATAGTTTCAAGAAAGAATATAAACAGAAAAAGACAAAAATGAAAAACAACCAGAAATGATTACACATGTAACTGTGTAATAAAAGTCTGGTTATACATATTTAGAACCGCGCTTTTTAACCAGATAAATTCATTACCAATTTTTAAAAAAGTGCACCAGTATTATATTACCAAATATATGTCCAAAGATATAAGGTAAAAAAAAAAAAGGAAAAGGCAATAAGAGTAACATTTAGTTCTCATTTATATTTATGATCAATGATTAAGGTCTTAAATTAGCAGATGAATTATCTTAAAAAGATATTGTGACTATTTTTTGTATTTTCTCTTTAAGGTAATGGGTTATGAAGCGTGGATACCCTCTGCAGGATAAAGACCACTAAAGATACTAAAGAAAATAAAACAAACTTCTTCTAACTCTGCGCTATCTATATTTGGTTCAATGGCCTTACAAGCGGCTTAAAATTAATGCTAAAGCTGGTATATAAGTGAACACTATGGAGGTCTACTGAAGTATTTTTGGGGTATATAAGCCCAAAGAATTTTGAAGCTAAAGCATTAAGAACAATCATCAACTTTAGAACTTAAACCTATGCAGAAACTGATTAGTTTTACTTTTCCAATGCAGCTGATATCCCTTCCTATGTTTGGTCAACAGCCATAAAATAAGTAAAGTCAGTTCCTACCTGTGTACCCAAAAGTAGAGATGTGATTTATCAGAGCAGTGTGAGCACATGTAGTCTGAACTCTGTTTACACAACTTCTCTTATTTACTTCAGAACAACAAGATATTTTCTGTGTTCTTCCCAGTGGTGTTGGTTGGAATGATAACAATAGCATAGGCTGTACTGAGGTTAGATGGTGGGAAAGGGCCTTTTCAAAGAAGCCAGTAAAATGAATTGTTTGAACTCGGGTTTGGATTGAAAATATGCAAATAAACCTTCTTGAAAGAACTTTGATTTCTCATCTCATACCTTATATTTGATGTCACCAGAGGCATTTTGTAAAGGGAAGATTTTTTTTCATACATGTGCAGATTGTGTCATCGATTTCCAACATAATAAGGAAAGAATAGAAAAAGTTATAATTTCTCATTGTTCTATGAAGAGTTTGGCTGATTTTACAGCAAAAAAATGCATTAGAAAAAATAACATATTTGTCAGAAATGACAAAGTGCAGAATTCTGCAGTTTTCTGCAGCAGTGTTAGAAATCTGCCTGAGTTTGTGTTTTTTATTTTGGGTCAGAAACTGAGAAGTATAAATGCGGCTTTGCTTTCTTGCGTAAGTATGGTCTGTAATAACATTATCAACTTATTTTTCAGGGAATGTTGTGTGACATCAAGTAACCCACCAGTGGGTTGATAACCAGCTGTTTGTGTGTTGTTTTATTTCTGAGATGGCCTTTTTTTGGTTTGTGAACAGCGGCTTGAATTCTTTGCTGTGTGTTATAGCTGTAATGTTACTGGGCTATATATAGCTGGATCTGCAAAGTGCTAGAGTTTGCTGTTTTTTACCTGCTCATCTCTTGGTGCATCTAGGACAAAAATCTGGGGGGAATTTAATTTAAACTAATTAGTTTCACAGGAACACAATCTTGTTTACCTAGAGGGGTTCCACATCTGAGGATGTGCAGGATGTGAGTGTCTGTGACCTTTCTATAGAACATCCTCTTAATTTAGAGACAGATTCCACTGTTGCAGAAAATGTATTCCAGTATTATGTGCTGCAGGAGAGCTTGATGATTTTATCAGGTGGCATACGTGAGAACCTTGTGTAGTTTCCTGGACCTTACTTTCTGGCTTTTCCCTGCTGCTGCATCATAGCACTCTGTCTGCTCACTGAGGGACCTCCAAGCAGGACTCCCCCTTTTTACATTCTATTTGCACAAATCAAGCAGACATGCTCCTCAAGGTGCCCATGTTCCTGCACTCAGTCCCTTCAAGCTCAACACACACAGGCAAACACCAAGACACCGTCCGTGGCCCCCTCGTCTCGCCTTGCTTCATCTGCTGAGCTAAAAATAGCTCTTGCACTGAGGAATACCTCAGAGATAGCGCTCCTGTCCTGACTTTTCTCTACGCAAAGATGCAGTTCATGCTCTCATACTGCTTAGCTTCAGTCAAACATGTCAGAGCTTTTCCTTTTTCGTCTGACATCTACATAACTTGGATGGGGATGTTGCTGATTTGCAAGGTTTAATCCAGGTGAAAGAATATGACACAAACACAAAAACCCACCCAAAAAAATGCAGTTATGACAAAAACTGCAGTCTTTTGAAGTCAGCTAACTGATAGAGTGCGTGTATCAGTGAGAGCTGCTGACTCAGACAGCAGCAACTGACAGCAGGGCTGTTGTGTTCAAGGTGAAATCCAGAGCCCGGTGATCACTTTTCGCTTTAGGTTTTGTTTCTATCTCAAATTGTGTTTTACTGGTTTCTGTTGGATACAGTTTAGCTTGCTTTCAGTTTCTGACCTTTTTTGTTGTTGTTCGTTGCTTGTGTTGTGCAGGGCAGAGTTAAACCATGAATCATACGCCTCCACCCTTTTAAAATGGAAAGGTTTGAGTAGCCTCTTGCTCAGGTTCCAACAGCAGCCACAACATGTGAGCTAGAGAAAGCATGAAGACAAATGTTTCTACAGGGACTGAGTCACATTTTCCTGATTTAAGGGAACATGTAGGTTAAGAGCGGTTAGTAACTTACCCGCAGTAGATAATTCTTTATTTAGGTTTAACTATTGGATGAAACTAAGATTAACACAGTCCTTATAGTTAAAAAAATCAAATAAAAAATACTAGTTTATGTGAAAATTATTCTGTGAACTCTGCATCCCAGGAGATGAAGGTTGGATATTTTACATAGCCAATTATATTCCTGTGGGAAACATGAACCAGGGGCTAAACATGCAAAAAGAATCTGATCAAAGCAGCTGCATAAATAACTATAAAGACTTAAAGAAAACTAGATTTGATCATTTTAACTTGATGCTGTTTTTTATGATTCTACACTGCCTAGCTTTTATAATTGGTTCCTACTCTGACTGGAAAGGCTGTAAATGTTTTGATCACAATATGTATTTCAAACAGGAATTTGCACTGGTAATAAGTAACTACCTGGTATGAATTAATGTAAAAAAAAATTAGTTAAATCTGTTGGGCTCTTTTTGGCATCAAGACAATTATCCTTATTGCCACATTGCCAGACATGACACTGTAGAAAAAAAAAAAGGAATTAGGCAATATATAAAGCAATGGCCTTATCGAGGTTTGAGTTATCTGAAATAATAGCAGCTATTATTGTTTTACGATGAGTACCAGAAAGGATAAGACCAAACCAAGACTATTAGAAACACTTAGAGTAAACACAAAATCACCCTTACATTTTCTGGTTATTTGAACTCAAATTTATAATTATAGTTACATTTCTATGCGAAAAGAACTGAAAACAGAACACATAAAGCATAACATTGTTATTCAACTTTTGGAGGGCTTTTTTTTTTAACTTTATATAAATCATTTTTTTTTTTGGTAAGGCTTTACATGACTCATTCCTACTTCTTGTTTTAACCTCCTACCTCTTTTTTCCTTTTTCATCTATTTCTTTGTTCGAACTCAAACATGACAACCCTTCAAGAGTTTATAAAATAGTTCCAACATAAAACAGTATTAATTTTTTTTTTAGATTGGAATTTAGACACGGAGAAGAAGAAGAAGTGTGTTTTTGGTCTTGCTTTTGTCCCTGGGGTTAACTAATCTGAATTTATAATAAGATAGTTTCAAATACAATTTTTTTCTTGTTAAAAAGAAAATCTAATTTATTACATTTTCTAATTCAAGTATTTCTTTTGAACAGTGACTTACTGTCTTCGGATTATGTTGAGATCCACTACGAAAATGGAAAACCTGTCCAGTCTAAGGTAATCGTCCTCTTCTTTAAGCCTTCTCTGATCCTGCTTACAAATCACTCACAGACCAGACTAAGATTGTGAAAGAAAGATCTTTAATGTGTCTAAAAATGGAAAAAGAGGTACTGAAAAAAAATTTATGTCAGTGCTGATGTAAGCAGAGATGTTTTTAGTATTTTTTTTTTAGACATTTTAGTAAACAGAGCCAGATAGATAGATGGATGGATGGATGGATGGATGGATGGATGGATGGATGGATGGATGGATGGATGGATGGATGGATGGATGGATGGATGGATGGATGGATGGATGGATGGATGGATGGATGGATGGATGGATGGATAGATAGATAGATAGATAGATAGATAGATAGATAGATAGATAGATAGATAGATAGATAGATAGATAGATACATAGATAGATAGATACATAGATAGATCGATCATTTATTTGTTTTCAGGAATGTGAGGGGGAAGTGGAATGCTTGGTTTCTGTGGCTGCTGATTCAGGTACAGATCTGGGCTGGGCATATTGGAGCTGAATCAGCAGGGTTTCACTCCCCTGCAGCTTTCTGTTTGAGCTCTGGTCACATGATGAGGGAAGGAAAAGGCACTCTGCAGTACCAGTGCAGACTGAGAGCAAACGAAGTGCAAGAGAAAGTAAAAAAAAAAAAAAACCTGAAAGAAAGTAGTATAGAAAAGTAGGAGAGTGTCCGAGCAGCTGAGTCTCAAACAGAGCCAGGGGCTGTTGTGCAGAGTATTAAATCTATGCCTTTATGAGCACAGATTGAGACCCCCTGCAGCAATGCACTGCAAAGAGGGCAATCTGACATCTGCAGCACAATCTGTTACACTTTTAGACTCGTGTGAACATTGAAGAGGTCTTCCTGTGAAGCTGCTTTGTTTTTGGTGATGCATTTGTGCTGTGTTGTTTCTCCTCAGGGCGGGGAGCACTGCTACTACCACGGCCAGGTGAGGGGGTGCAGCCACTCCCATGTGGCCTTATCTACCTGCAATGGTTTGCAGTAAGTGAACAGCACATTTGTGTGCTAAGAATACCTCATATACTTCAGTACGCTTTCCTCTCTCCTGGTTATCGACCAGCCTCTCTTTGACTTTTTTCCACTCTCTCTCTCTCTGTCTCTATCTCCTCTGGCAGCGGGATGTTTGACGATGGAATCCATGCGTATCTAATTGAGCCCTTACACCAGGCCCATTTAATTGTAAGTTAATGCATCTACAGATTGTCAAAATATATCAGAGGTGTCTCTTATCATACCTCTAAAATACACAGACATCACTTTTTGAAGTTTTTAATATTTAAACTCGGGACATTGCAGTGCAGAAGAAGATCTAGATATGTGATGAATATGAAGGATGCTTAGTGAAAAACTAATAATGGTATAAAATCTATAGAAATCCACAGGTTTTACACGGTGGCATGTTTTAACTGCGCCAAGAAGATTATGTTTTCATCGCCATTGGGTTGTCTGTCTCTTTGTGTCTTTTAAAAATAACTTTAAAAGTTATGCACGGATTTTGCTAAAAAACTGTTGTTTTGTGAGTTGCAATAAATCATAACATTTTGGTGATGATCCACATCACCATCTGAATCCAGGATTTTGATACACTTATAAACTTAAGATTGAAAGTCACAACATGTCAACGAAAATTAGCCACTAGGCACTTTAATGTAATTAAAAGACCAAAAATGTTTAAGAAATATGTCCCAAAATTCAGCATGTAGGACACAGACAGAAAAAAAGAATAATAAGAATTCTTGAACATATTAAAAAGTATAAAACTCTCTGAGAAAAAAATTAAATAACAGCAAAAAGTATTGAATGTAAAACTACCTTAAAATGTGAACAAACAAAAAAAATCCTCTGGCTAATTAATCAGAGATGTTCTTCTTCTCTATTTTCCGTTGTGGACCTTTGACATTTTGCTGTTGTTGTTAGTTTCCCAATATCCGTTTTCCTTTAACTTTGAAGGTGTTTTGAAAACAATGTCACCTCCTTCCTTTTGGTTCCTCCTGACTCTTCCTGCCTTTGCTTCCATCCTGCAGGATTCAGCTGCAAGACCTCACAAAATAAAGAGAGCAGCCTCAATTCTATCCGACCATGGTTCAGAAGAGCTGGGTAAAGTAGACATTTGTCATCTCACATAGCTTGCCCATCAGCCCTCCACCCATAACCAGCACCACACCCTCCACCCTGACTGTTGCTTAGCGCAGTGAAGAAAGATGAGAAATGCTTCTTCTGGGAAAGCACCCCCTTAAAAGCCCAACCCCGCTGGCCAGAATAAACAACTCAAGCCTACATGGTTACAAATATTTCACATGTTTACGATGGGCTGTAACTGTTTGCTTGTGTGCTTGCAGTGGATGAAGATGAGGAGGATCTCTTTTCGGAGCTAAATGAATTATCCTGGCTGAGGCGCAGAAAAAAACGAGCAGTGAGTCTCTCTGAAGGGATGCAACCCTTTTAGACGGCCGTCTCTGGTGTTTACAGTCATGAATTTAAATTAGCCTCTGCACGGTTAAACATGCGGTGGCAAACCACCTCAGATTATATGTTTTCATTTGCCTTGTAATTGTTTGTTTTGTTTTGCAGATGCCTCGTAACATCTTTGAGGAGATGAAGTATTTGGAAATCATGATTGTCAGTGACCACAGTATGGTATGAGGTTTTACTGAAAGCTTTTGTGTAAAGTCAATGCTTTGGCTTCTCAATTTTTTTTCATGTTGCTCTTAAACTTCTGTTGCACAATAAAAGACACAAGTTTAGTCTTTTAAAGCTATATTATGTCATAAATTCCTTTAACCTCCATGTTCTAGTCTTTATGCTTAAATATTACATTCTTATGTTGGAGGTTGGAAATCCTCTGTTTGAGGCTGGACCTGCTTTTGTAGATTTCATAGATGCGTTATCTTCTCTACTTGCCTAAACTAGAAAATCTTCACTTATGAAATTATACATTTTCATGTCAGGAGAAGAGAAATAGAAAGAAAATGAACCATCTGAAAGGAAGCAACGGACACTCCAACCATGTGAAACTGATGTTAGTTCTCTCAAAAGAAAACAATGTTTTGGCCTTAAGATGTAATTTCAAGCTAATTCTTCACATGTGGTGTTTGAAATGGAAATCAAAGTATGGAATCCAAAAGAGAGGAAGAACAGAGTTGCTGCTGTTGCTAATTAGCATTAGTAAGTGTTCAGAAAAATGTTTAGAGAAGCTGTTATTGATTTGATTAAGAACATTGAAGTTGTGTTGTAACACCTGAAAGTGTTAGTTTTTAGAAAAAACACGGCAAAAAAAAACTAATATCGGCCAAAATTTGAATCAACATGTCACTTTTTTCTAAAGAAATCACTGATCAGCTATAAAAATGCAATCCTTGCACAATATTATATGGACATAAATTCTGTTTATCATCAGAAAAAATGAAGCAAGAGTGCATGCTTTGTGTTTAAATTTAACATTAAAGCAGCTTTATTTGATGACTTAGGGCAAAAACTTTGGGGCGTGCATGACTTACATAGATATTTATCTTCATTGTTCCAGAGTGGGGAAAAAAAAAGCAAAAAACTTCATAAAAACACACAGCTACACACACAAAACTGGATAATATAGGAACAAGAACAAAAATGAAACCATTTAAAATAGACTTCGTAGTAGAGGGGGAAAAACACGTTATTGTTATAAAAAAAAACTCAGATTAAATGAAAAATGTTCAAGAGAATAAAACACTAGTCTATGTAAAGGAAAAAGAAAGAACTATGTCAATAAGATAATCAGAGAAAATAGTCACAGAGCAGATGATGAAATTGTGCAAATAAAGGCTCTAATGTACAAAAACACTTTCTGAACTGATAAAAACGGAAAAGGCTTGGGCAAATGCCTTCATGCATAAAAAAAAACCAACAAAAAAACAAAGCAAATTCCCATTTGCGGGGCACAGTGGTGTTAATATCATCTACGTTGCACATTGACTCGATGGAACCATTCTGAAACAAGACCATCAAATACTTAAGCAATCATTGGAAGATAAAGTTAAGTTTTTAGTTAGGGTTAAACCTTATTCTTGTACTCGTCATCCTCCGATTATCTGGAACGGAGTCAGTGTCTGCGTTACAGCGGCAGCCGCACCAATCTCCTTCCCCCCTCACATGTGAACAGGACTCCAAATACTTGAACTCCTCCATCTGTGGCTGAAACTTTTCTCTAACCAGAAGGGGACAAGTCACATTTTTTCCAGTTAACAACCATGACCTCCAACTTTGAGGAGCTGATTTTCATCCTTGCTGCCTCACATATAGAAATCCTGTCCATATGGGTATGAACAAGACCGTTGACAGAAAGCAGCCCTGCTGGAGTCCAACATGCCCTGGAAACAAGTCCAACTTTATACCGGTGTTTTGTCAGATCAGCATACCCCATCAGGCCAGCATACCCATAGACATTTTATCGCTTAGTTTATCGTTTTAGTTTAACTTCATTTATCCCTTTAGTTTTATACAAAAAATACTCTTTAAACTACCTCGACGGGCGTGTATCCCTTTAATCATGTACAAAAAACACTTACTTACTTTTTGGCATTTTTGAAGCATATGGCAATATGACTTTAAATTGTTTCTTTTGTCCATGACTAAAGGGATACAGGCCCGTTGAGGTAGTTTAAGTTTATTTTTCGTATATAACTAAAGAAATAAACGGGACTAGAATTCGTGTATGCAAATCTGACGTCTTGTGCATGCGTATTGACTATGCTGGTCTGATGGGGTATGCTGAGCTGACAGAACACTGGCTCCTGCTGGATAGCCCCTAGTAAAGACCCCCTGCCTGCTCTATTGGAGCACCACCCATAGCGCTACTTGAGGGCCACAGTCTAATAGGACTAAAAGTAGATGTTAAATTGCAGCTTTAAAGTTCCAGGCCTCTACATCTGTTTTTTGTCTGCTTTTTTTATTATTGGCAAACCCAATTAAGAAAGAAAATTCAACCGAACTTAAGATTTTATGGTTTAAAATGGCCTTTTGTAGGGTTTGTTTATTCTTCATACCAGAGGCGTGCACAGACATTTTGGGGGGCAGGTGCTCAGGAGGGGGGGAGGGCACTTTTTAGCGCACGTGGAACACTTAATTATAAAAAAAATACACGCATGTTTAATGAAATTTGACTTTTATTTGTAACATTCTCTAAACGTGACTTTTCAATGAAAAAAAGTCACACCACCAACAGAACAGACTAAAGCTCATCTTTCTTTTTCTTTCATCTGGCTCATCTCCCCGTTTTCCCTCATCCATCTGTTCTCCCTCACCCATCTGTTCTCCCTCATCCTGGTCTTTGTCTGTCTCTGTGTCTTCCCTGAACTCTTCCTCATCTCCTGTCCTGGTAGATGTTGATGGTATAGAGCTTCCCTGCTGTGACTGGCTACAATATAATAATAATAACCATCATGACAATAATAATAATAATAATAATAATAATAATAATAATAATAATAATAATAATAATAATAATAATAATAATAATAATAGCTTTAACAAATATGCCACATTAGTTTAAATAATGGGCTATTAGGGCAACATGACTGGAAGTCTTGTCACGTGGATATGACTTATGGTAGCCTACAAAATAATAGCTATTTTAATACCTGCTTCACAAACCACTTAAAAATAAAATGTGAACAGCTTTTAAGAATTTTCAATACGATTAACCCTCCTTTCTTGGCCTTGTACTGCAATTACTAAATCAATATGCAATTAAGACAGTAAAGAGACCAAAATGTGTTAATTTATGTTGCCTAACAAAACCTATACAACAGAATTCTGAGATTAAAGTCAGCATTCTGACTTTTTTACCATACTAAACTGAAATAAAATTTAAAAATCAGTTAACTTTTTTTTTTTTTTCAGTGGCCCTAATCCTGTTCCGTATTTGCAATTGCAAGCTCTACCAAAATTATTTGTAGCCTATGTGGTCGTCCTCACGTTATCTGTCATTGACTTGGGCTACAGTGTAAAACTTTCAGAATCAGGTTTATTGCCATTGTTAGTGAAGGAGTTCACAAACTAGGAATTTTTTGTTGTACAATCGTGCAACATAAAACATATAATATGGAATAGGTAAATAAAATTATAAAAATATCTAAAAACTGTGGGTATACGTCATGCAATAAAATAGACTAATATATACACTTAAGATACAAATATGGATATAAAATATAAAAAGTAAAATAGCATCTTACAAGGAGACGACTAGTTTATCAGGTGACCAGTCGGCAAAATGCTTGTTTGGTGCTGCTGAATGAGACATTTTAATGCACTACAAAATGATTTGCTTGATCTGTATATTACCTGGCTAATGGGGCACGGGAGAAGCAGCCTGTCAGCGACCGTTCCTGCTATCTGAAGACGCTACTGAACTGCTATGATGCTGCGCATCTGGCATGCCCTGCGGGCGACCGCGCGAGGTCACGTGACAAAGGAAGCGAGAGAGGGTCGTTTGTGCGCAAGTAGGTGGCTCATTTCGGGGCATTGTTTCAGTCGTTTTTAATGGCTCAGGTTTTCAAAAGATCATTTCAAAACCGACCTCAGTAAAATCTTATTAATATTAATAATAATAATAAAAAAAACGAGTTTCAAAAGGGCATTTTCTTTGATAAAGGGCAAACTTCCTAGTGCTTTAGCACCACCTAGTGTCTATGTGTGCACGCCCCTGCTTCATACATATTGTTGGACGTAGCACTCTTTGTTAAGGGGCCCCAAAAACTGAGCAACGGGAGAAAGAGACGAATTTGTACTGAAGCCACTCAAGGTCAGATTCAAGATGGCTGCCCCATATTGGCTTGTGTTACTAATGGCGGTTAGCTTTACAACTATTGGTAGATCCATATGGTGTTGCAACCTCTAACTATATTCATTGCAATGCGTATAGGTGAAAAATAATCCAGCTGTGAAAAGCTCTAAGGTTACAGTGCAGGAAACATTTAATTCAATTAAAAAACAAATTAAAATGAACGCAATGACATTTTTAGAGTGCATTCAAAGCTCGTAAATAAATAAAACTTGCAATAAATCAGCCTGTTCCCCATCCCGCTGACATTTCACATGCTTTAAAACAAAGCAGTAATCCTTATTGACCTGAGACAGGAAATGTTCATGAGGATTAAATGTCAGGAAATGCCCTGCATCCCTTCATTAATATTTCAAGCTGTGTTTTTTGTCCCCCACAAGGGGGAGCGTTGTCTCTCAAACCATGTGTCTCACTGTCTCTGGAACCCAATGTCTCTGTTTTTCTGTCTCTGCAGTATAAAAGACACAAAAACAGGCAGCACACAAGAAATTTCGCAAAATCAGTGGTGAATCTTGTTGATGGTGTAAGTACGTTTTCTAGTTACTGTGCCACAAATATATTGCATCGAATTTGGAGCTTTGATCACAGCCAAGATTATGTTTTATCAACATTTTCTCCCCTCCTCTCAATGTGATACATCCAATCTCACCCCTGCTGTTGTTTCTCTTCTCTCTCCCCCTGTCTCTCTTTCTTTTTTTGCTTCCATTCATGCCACACTTCAATGACAGATCTTCAAAGACCAGCTACACACTCGTGTGGTGCTTGTTGCTTTGGAGATCTGGACGGACAAGGATCAGATCCCCATAGGTGTGATGCCGCTGGAAATGCTGAGAGATTTTTCCAAGTATCGCCAGCAGAGCATCAAGATGCACGCTGATTCTGTCCAGCTCCTCTCGTAAGATTTTACCGACACTGAACTGAATGGGTTTCCTTTTTTTATTGTAATTTGCTTTGCTAATAGAGCAGACGGAAGCTATCCATGTAAAGTTTTATCTCACGTTTTTTTCTTTTTTGCCATCAATCCTTCTTGCAGAAATGTGACCTTCCACTACAGAAGGAGCAATGCCGCATATTTTGGTGGCATGTGCTCCGTGAGCCGTGGAGTGGGAGTCAACGAGGTCAGAATCACCCTAACATGGCCACTGACACTGCATCATCTCCATTCACCGCTTTGCAAAAAGAATCCATACCCTTTAAACTCTTTTATAAACTGGATTTTGCTGAGAATTTAAAGAAGTCCCATAAATAGTCCCATAAATAGCCACAGTAGAATTAGCACCATATACTAAAAATGAGCAATAAATAATTCAGCACAGGCTCAAATGTAATAAACGTTCAGATAAATTCAGATGGTTATTTCAATGTTGGTTTGATTGATGCAAACATTTCTTCTTAGTAAGTAAACAGCTGCAAAGTCCTCCTTGAGTCGTACTGTAGGAAGCACATTGTGGTATGACCTTAATTTTGATTCAGACCTTAACTGGACCGTTCTAGCTTATGAATATCCTTTCTAAACCTAGGGAGCCCAACTCCAGTACTCGGGAGTCTTTATCAACACTTCTAACACACTGGAATTTGTTTAATTCAGGTGTACTGATGAAGGGATGCATCTTAAAGTTGCAGAATAGGAGCTTATTAAAACTAGAGTCGAGGACAGCTGCTCTAAACAGACCCATTGTCTTTCTGGTTGTCATTTGAGTAGTGGGAGGTAAAACCTTTGGGGTATTTTAAAGTTTTTTGCATCCCCTAAATGGTTTTCCTTTCTAGAATACTCTATATTTAGCTTTCCTGGTCCTGTAGAATAAAAGTATCACCACAGCATACCGCTGCAGATTACAGATTTTTATTTCTAAAACACCATAACACATCCATCACCTTCCTTCCTCCTTACAAATACATGCTACCTTGTTTTGTTCCATGAATAACATGTTGTATATGATGCTACCTCCACAGTATGGCACCACCTGGGCCATGGTCGTGTCTCTGTCTCAGAGCCTGGCACAGAACCTGGGCATCCAGTGGGACCCTGCATCCAAGAGAAGTATACATGAAACACATTTTGTTTATTTACCACATGTATAACTGAGGTACGAACGACAGGCTTAAGAGAACAGACTTTCTCTTCTGCATTTAATGTGTAAACTATTAGATGTTGGCCATTTAGGTTCTTAGTCCCCAGTAAATGTCGGATAAGAGGGCAGTCGGGCATCTCTACGCTTCTGCAGATGTTTCCTCTCCTTTGAGAAGCCTGCCGGGTTAAATTCTCATCTGCCACATACCTGTACAAACCTTTAAAGCGTTGCCATCCCTCCTAGGTCCCTTCATCTTCCTTTTCTCTAATTTCCTGCAAAGAATGAGGAGGATTATTTATTATTCATGCTATTTTACCAGCAATACGGTTGATCAGTCAGCATTGTAAAAACGTTTTCTACAATGTAGAAGCCTCATGGCATACAAAAGCACTGCTGTTTTCCTGTTTTTTGTAGCCATTATAGTTTAAGTTTTTGTAGTTTATATATACGGTTCATTTGTTTGTAAAAGACAATGTATAAACTACTCTATTAATGGTATAATACAGCTTTAAATTGTAAGATGCAAAAAAGGAAAGACAGACTGACTTTGATGATTTAAAAACCCGATGTCGGAAACCGAATGTCTTTGGATTCTAAACCTCTACTTTGTGATGTTTCTATTCCAATAAAATATTGTTCTGCTTTTTAGAAGACTGCGGATGTGCAGGCTCATGGAGCGGCTGCATAATGGAGGACACTGGGTAATCTCCAACACACACACACACACACACACACACACACACACACACACACACACACACACACACACACACACAGCCTTTGTTTTCATGACTTTCGCAGACATTTCATTGACATACCTAAAAATTCATATGGCCTAACCCTAACAGACAGACAGACCCTAACCCTAACTATTAGCAACATATACCTAACCCCAACTCAAAGAAGAAAACTTTACCATTTGGAGACCCGTTGAATGTCCCCATTTTGACCACTTTAGACCTGTAGGTCCTCACAATGGGGGATATTTCACAATACACTTCCCCTAGTTGTAGCTCAAACAAAAACACACACACGCACATCCAAAAGACAGAGGAGGATGAAACCATAGCAGTTTCTTTACGCATGTGCACTCAGGGATGCAGTAATCTAAAGTCTTGTGATCTGTTGGGGTTTTCAGTTTTTAAGTTTCAATAGACTTTGTAAATTGGAGTGTTTTAAGTGCAGGATCTAGCATAAAATCCTTAGATTGTTTGTTTAGTTCTAAACAAAGCAATGTTTACTTACCATAAGTAAGTACCTAACTTTGTTACATTTTCCTGATGTTTCTTTTTCCTCTTTTTTTATTCCAGAATTCAATCAATACTTTGTGTGATACATAAAAATGTTTGTATTTAATGAATATTTGCTTATTTTTAAAGTAAATAGTCATGTCCCTGTTTCGGTTTAAAGCCTCAGTAGAAAATGTATAGAAACAGGGCAGTTGCATGCGTTTGTAAACCAAATAGTCAAATGATAACCAAAACACGTGCAGGCAGTGGCTCAATGGTAAATAAACAGAGTGAATCTACAACGAGCAGCATGAATGATCATTAGGCTTCACATAAACAGTTCTGCTAGTAATCAGGAAACTAGATCATTATGACAAATAAGACGATTTATTTTCCAAGCCTTGGTGCAAAGAGAGTAAAAAAAGGAATAAAACCTAAGCAAGCTTTAAACAATAATTACTGCATTGCTTCTTTTTCCTCCAAACATACCAATAGTCTTTATCGTCAAATGATTACATTTTAGTTTCACCCAATTATGCTATAAAAAACTAAGACCTTAGTTCCTGTTTTTTGAATTTGCCTTTGAAGTAGCATACTGTAGGTTAAATTTTCCCTTAAGGATTAACCAGGCTTGTTGAAGTCCCTCTCCCCATAGCCTCCTGTTTACTTTAGATTCTCAGGGATACATTCAAAGAGAATTTCCTTTTCTGTCTTATTTTAAAATAAAATATCTATAGTTTGTTTTGATATTGCGTGGTCTCAAATCAGGAGGTGTTAGTTGGATGCAGCCCCTGTTATGAATCTAACATTGGGATGCAAAACAATTCAAATAAAAGGTGAAAGGTTTGGATCCCCATTACAATAACACACTGAAAACACATTAGTAAACTACAGGAAGCCTTTTAACTCTTTGGCTGGACTTTAGAAAATGATGAAAGTGATGATTTTTCCACCTGCAGGGTTCAACATCCACAGAGGTTCTCCAAATGCAGCATCTCTGACTACAGGGAGTTCCTTTTAAAAGGCGGAGGCTCGTGTCTATTTAACAGACCAACAAAGGTTAGCTGGAAACGCTTTCTCCTCTATCCACACTTGTCCCAGCTGCCATGCTAGCTTCATTCTGTCTCTCTTTGCTCTGGCAGCTGTTTGACGTTGCACATTGTGGAAACGGATATGTAGAGGTGGGAGAGGAGTGTGACTGTGGACTAAGATCGGTAATTTTTTCTTCTTACTGCATTCCAACTTTTTAAGTTTATCTTGTTTGGTCAGAGGAGTGAGACTTTTATTTTTTTGTATTTTGATATGAGGACTGTCACAAGGGCTGCTGCAAGAAGTGTTCTCTTGCAAATGGGGCTCAGTGCAGCGATGGACCTTGCTGCAATGTTACATGTCTGGTATGATTGGTATCAAAACACCGTCTGGGTTTCATTTGACAAAAAAAAAAAATTATAATTTTTGTTTGCATTTTTCCAGCTTTACCCGCGTGGCTATAGCTGCCGGGAAGCTGTGAACGACTGTGACATCTCAGAGACCTGCACTGGAGACTCTGGACAGGTGTTTCCTATTTTTATTTCCTTTTAGTTTATTCATGTTTAAGTTTTAAATGTTTCTTTTTTATTGGTAAGTTGAGGAGGAGTATTAAGAAGCTGTGCTCTGTTTACGACTTTGCAGTGTCCCGCTAACCTACATAAACAAGATGGTTACATGTGTCAGGTGAACCAGGTATGAAACTGACTTTTTGTTATTTTGTGAAGCAAGAGCATAAAATTTGAAGATGCTAAATTATTTTTTCTTTTGCTGTTGAAGGGTCGTTGTTACAGTGGGGAATGCAAAACAAGAGAAAACCAGTGTAAATACATCTGGGGATCAAGTAAGACTGTGTTCATCCCTGGTGATCCTGTCGAAGGTCCACAAAAGAGACGTTTCCCATTTGTTATGTTCGCTTATTGCTCTTGATTTCAGAGGCTGGAGGTTCAGAGAAGTTTTGCTATGAGAAGCTTAACACAGAGGGGACGGAAAAAGGCAACTGTGGAAAAGATGGAGACCGATGGATCCAGTGTAGCAAGCAGTAAGTTACAAATCCTACAGCCTGTAAACTCAAATCGTAGGCAGCTTAGTAGCATCTTTCAAGTCAAAATTGAGCAATGCATTTTAATATCATTTAAAATGAAATTTATTTCACTTTAAAACGTATCGTCAATGGGACATTGAACCCACTATGTGGGTTTATTACACACGCGGTGGGTTGAATGTCCCAATTTTAATCATTCTTACTTTCAGCTAATAAAAGCAAAAATATTTAGTTTCTAAAAAGCATGAAAATATAAAAAACAAACAAACAAGAAATTAAGTTAATGTGTGACTACACAATCATGGGGACAACTCCCCTAGTTATTGACCTTGTCCACAAAGAGAGTAATCCACAACAGGTATATTTAACCTCATTACTGGAAAGTTAGGTGGAAGGGAAAAAAGGCTACCTAGAAGACTGTTTCCTTTATAGAACTGTGCATTTAAAAGCCAGGATTGTTCTGTCCACATGCCTCTCAATAGATCATAGTATCATCAATATTAATTCTAGAAATTCAGACCCTGTTACTGATAAACCACTTGTTCTTTCATGGGCAGCTTTTAAAGGATCCTCACCTCTAGATTAAGACCATCCACAAGATTCTCTGACATTTTTTCTTCGATATCATAAACTAACTCCTATCAAACCCATCAAGTTTATTTTGTCCACAAAATAAATCCAAATTAGCTTAAGGTGAAGTATTTCTGTAATGCTGCTCTGCTTGTTATATAATGTTTTGTTCAATTATGGTTTAACTTGATTCAATAGCAGTGGATGCTGGTATATTGTTGCCATTTTTAATCAATGACTCAAAGTTAATTTCTATGAAATGATGCCAGGGGTATCGGGGAGTCTGATAGTAAAAATGTCTGCCTTTGTTACAGTGACGTGTTCTGTGGTTATCTTCTGTGTACCAATGTGGGGCGAACTCCACGCATCGGAATGATGAAAGGAGACTTTACTCTCACCTCCTTCAATCACCAAGGCAACGTGATACAGTGCTAGTAAACGCTCTCACTTTGTTAACGCCCCACTTTAACTAGATGCAAGAGTTTATTTTCTGACTATGTTTATTTTCTGACCCCCCACCCTCATCAGCGGTGCCCACGTCCTTTTGGACGATGACACAGATTTAGGCTACGTGGAGGATGGGACTCCCTGTGGGCCGTCGATGATGTGCCTTGACCATAAGTGTCTACCCATCCAGTCACTCAACGTGAGCACCTGTCCCATCGGGCCTAATGGACAGGTGTGCTCTGCTCACGGGGTGAGTCTTGGCTGAATTAATTAATATTGATTGTATGAACAAGAAAATAAAATTTGTTTGTGACAGGACTGGTGTAATATCGGTGTCTTATAAGGAGACATTTGTCCCATGTGGAAACTTCTTGAATTAAAACACCTGTGATTGAAATTTGTTTAGGTTGTGTTACGCCCCCCCAAGGTCTAGGGGTCTTGGGGAAGCAACATAAATAATGTCTGGAGTAGTTCGGGGGAAGTTAAAAATTATTTATTACAAAAAAGATGGTTAAACAGCCCCAAAACACAATATAGCTTAACTCAGTTAAAACAAAACAACAAAAAAGGTAAGGGCAAACAAATTCAAGATTGGCTGAGAGCAAATAAAATTACAAACTGCCCAAAAACAGTCAGACTAAGTTTTAACACAAAAAACAAACCAAATGAAAAGACAAAGGGAGCACCAAACCTCCCAAACACAAGCAACTAGCTTGAACAAGGCCACCTAAAGCAGACTAAGCAAAGTGCATACAAAGCCAGGGCAAAGAGCTCTTTCATCCCAAAAACAGATGCAAAACAAGATGGGGGAACAGCTTAACAAAACCCTCCTAATAGCTGTCCCCAAACTGAAAGCTTTTCAGGAGCCTTTTATAAGGTGCAGGTGGGCCTCATCAGCACACTGATTGGCTTGACACTCTTCTGCTGCTCCAATCATGTCACTGCAGTCCTCAGGCAGCCACCAAGGGAGTTCTGTCAGAGCTGAACCTGCACAAGAAAAGGCCTGCACAGTCTTAAAAGGCCAGGGGCCGTAACACTCCCCCCCTTAAATTACAAAACCAAGTTTTGTATACATTTTGTCAAAAAGAATCCCCCCCCCCCCTCAAAAACAAAAAAAACAAGCATACTCACATCCTGGAAAGGCCATCTGCAAGAACATTTTCTGTTCCTTTCTTATGTCGAATGTTCAGATTGTATTCTTGTAAAAGTATTGCCCAACGCATAAGACGCTGATTGTGGTTGTACATGCGTGAAAGAAATACTAGTGGATTATGATCAGTGAATACATCAATCGGTAAACTACTGGAACAAAGATAAACATGGAAGTGCTGAAGAGCCAACAACAGAGCCAAGGTTTCCTTTTCAATGGTGGAATAGTTTAGCTGATGTTTGTTAAACTTGCGAGAGAAATAGGAAACAGGATGATTTAAACCCTGCAAATCTTCCTGTAAGAGCACTGCGCCAGCCCCAACAGCGCTGGCATCCACTTCCAGCTTGAAAGGTCGGGTCAAATCAGGTGCAGCTAGTACTGGTGTGTGGCAAAGAATACTCTTAGCACTTTCAAAAGCATTCTGGCATTCATGTGACCAAACAAAGTCAGTCTTTGGGCTAAGTAGATTTGTTAATGGTTGAACTACTAAGGAGAAATTTCTGCAAAAGTTACGGTAGTAGCCAACCATGCCCAGAAATCGTCACAGCTCACGGCGTGTTTTGGGTGTGGGATAATCATTAATCGCCACAACTTTGGCATTGAGGGGACGAACTTGACCTTGTCCCACCTCTCTGCCCAAGTATGTCACAGTGGCCTTGCCAAATTCACATTTTGCAAGGTTAAGGCTCAAGGAAGCTTGGGCCAACCTGTGAAATATCTTATACAGTGTTTGCAAATGTTCCTGCCAGGTTTCAGTATAAACCACAAGATCGTCTAAGTAAGCGCTGCAGTTGGAGATTCCATGCAATACTGTATTTATCAGCCTCTGAAAAGTAGCTGGAGCATTACACATACCAAAAGCCATAACGTTATACTGCAAAAAGTTATCTGGGGTCACAAAAGCGGAAATGTCGGAAGCCCTTTGAGTTAAGGGGACTTGCCAATAGCCCTTGAGAAGGTCCAACTTAGTGACATATTTTGCAGTTCCAATATTGTCCACACAGTCTTCAATCCTGGGGAGAGGGTAAGCATCAGGTACGGTGACAGAATTTACCTTACGATAGTCTGTGATAAAGCATGGTGAACCATCGGACTTGGTTTCTAACAAACACGGCGAGCTCCAGGGACTTTGACTAGGTTTGGCTAAACCATGTTCCAACAGGTATGCAGTCTCCTTTTTCATTAGAGAACGTTTTATGGGATTAGCACGGTAAGGATGCTGTTTGATGGGCCTAGCATTTTGAACGTCTATGTCATGTTCAAGAACTGTTGTATGTGTTGGTACATCATTAAATAAACATTTGTATTTACCAATGAGGTCCATTACATCCTTTTGTTGCTCAGAGGATAAGTGGTCGAGATGGCTCTGCAGAGATTTTAGCATCTCTGTGTTCGTAAGGCGAGGACTAGAATAGATGGGATAATTCATTCTTAAGCCATCAGCATTATTCAGTTCCTCTACTTCTAGTGAAGTAGTGACTGCAACTGGAGCACACACTCCATTAGATTCTGATGCAGATCGAGAGTTGTACAACTTAAGCATGTTCACATGGCAGACACGACTTGTGCGCCGCCGATTAGGGGTACCAATAACATAATCATTCTCCCCTACTTTCTCTAGGATTTCATAAGGGCCATGAAATTTGGCAGACAAGGCAGAGCCAGAAACTGGTAGGAGTGCAACAACCTGATCTCCTACTTTAAAAACTCTTTTGACAGATGTTTTATCATAGTGATGCTTCATTTTTCTCTGGGATTCAACTAGATGCTTTTTAGCTAGAGCATTAGCTTGACGCAGGCGCTCACGAAAAGCTTGCACGTACCTGGTCACACTTTTTTTAGAACCTTCTGCAGGAACCAGGAAGGTTTCTTTCAAAGCTCTTAAAGGGCCACGAGGTGTGTGACCAAACACTAGTTCTGCTGGACTGAAACCAAGGGATTCCTGGACAGCTTCCCTAGCAGCAAACAGTACAAAAGGGACACCCTCATCCCAACTTTTTTCAGTTTCCAAGCAGTACTTGCGTAGCATTGACTTTAAGGTCTGATGCCACCGTTCCAGAGCACCTTGGGATTCTGGGTGGTAAGCAGATGAAACCACATGCTTAATGTTTAGAGTTTTAGCTACCTGTTTGAACAATTTTGATTGGAAGTTTGTTCCCTGATCCGTTTGTAAAGTTTTAGGTAACCCAAACACAGAGAAGAACTTTGTCAGAGCTTTAACCACAGATTTGGCTGTAATTTTACTCAAAGGGATGGCTTCAGGGAATCGTGTTGCAGCACACATTATTGTGAGCAAATATTGATTTCCACCCTTTGTTCTGGGTAGAGGTCCAACACAGTCTACTATAACATGGTCAAATGGTTGGTCTATGACCGGAATAGGGCACAACGGAGCAGGTGGTATTACCTGATTTGGCTTTCCAGCAATTTGGCACACATGACAACTACGACAGAACTTTGAAACATCACGTTTCATACCAGGCCAGAAAAAGTGCTTTAGTAGAAGTTGGTATGTCTTGGTAACACCTAAGTGACCAGACCACTGGCTTTCATGAGCCAGAGACAGAACTTTCTGTCTATATGTGGTTGGTATAACAATCTGTTTAACTTTACACCAGTCTGAGCTCCCTGCACCTGATGAAGACCATTGACGCATTAAAACACCATGTTCCACAACATAAGCTTGTTTCTCTTTATTGGCTAGTTCAGCACTTACCACATTCTTGAAACATCTTTGTAATGTTTCATCAGCTTGTTGAGCAGATTGCAAATGTCTGGTGAGAGGGATGGATGCTTTCTCCCAAAGTGGACCAGGCTCCTCCAGCACCACCACATCCGGAAGTAACGGAATACTGTCACTTTTGGTTGTTGCCTCCTCCTCACTAGAAAATGGAGACATCAAAATAGAATCAGAAAGGGCGATATCAGGGTCCTTGCGTGCTTGTGCACGGGTGACCACACAGGCTGGGTACAGCCCAGGGTCTGAAATTTCCTGGGTTGTCTGGTTTAAAGGATTATCTAATACCTCTAAAGTGGGAAGTACCAGACCTCCAGCAATGTCATTCCCCATTAGTATAGCCACACCATCTATGGGTAAGTCTGAGCAGACAGCAACAGGGAAAAATCCTGTGATAAGTTTTGATTTTATATAAACCCTGTGGACTGGTCTTGGAGCGTAGCCCATCTCTATCCCCCTCAGAACAGAGTTGTATCCACATGCACTCTCATGTGAAAAAGGTAAAACATTTGAGAGAATGACTGACTGGGAGCCCCCAGTGTCTCTCAGGATGCGTACTGGCTTCAAATCAGAGGCATCAGCTGTCAGTGAGATTAAGCCATCAAAAATGAAAGGTTCAAAACAGGGATCAGGTAATTTGTCACCACAACCAGTGCTCTTATTGCGGGGTTCCTTTTTAACAAAACCAACACCTTTAGTCTGTTGCGAATTTGGCTGCGTTTTGCGTTTTAAAGCTAAGCAATCAGCGATGACATGTCCAGGTTTGTGACAATAGAAACATTCCCTGCTTTCTTTTGGAACTGTGGCTTTAGCCATCCGGGTATGTGGCACAGCATTAACAGGTGACTTTTCATTAAGAACGAAAGCTGATTTATGAGTAAGCACATACTCATCTGCAAGAACAGCTGCAGAGGCTAGAGTGTTCACTTTCTGTTCATTTAAATATAACACCACACGATCTGGAATACACTTCTTAAAGTCTTCCAACAATATTAGCTCACGTAAAGCATCATAATTGTTGACTTTGGAAGCAGCACACCACTTATCAAAGAGAACACCCTTCTCTCTAGCAAACTCAACATAAGTTTGTTCAGCAGTTTTCTTTTGCTGTCGAAACCTTTGTCTATATGCTTCTGGAACCAACTCATAAGCTTGTAAGACAGCAGCTTTAACCAGATCGTAATCTAAACTATCCTTTAAAGGAAGCGCTGCCAACACCTCTTGAGCTTTACCAGAAAACTTACACTGTAACAAAAGAGGCCAGGTTTCCCTAGGCCATTGTAAAGCACCAGCAACGCGCTCAAATGCTGCAAAGTATGAGTCAACCTCAGATTCTCTGAAAGCAGGTACTAACGAAATACAC